CAGACCATGAGAGGGGGGTAGACAGCGACAATTCGAACCAAATGCTGTTAAAACCTGAATTTTTCGCTATCAATGCGATTCGACCCGCTCACGCATCTGAAGTTGATGATGCTCAACTACTGGAAAGGATCAAGAAGGCACTCACAGATGACACGATGACCAAGGATTATTGTGCGCTTTTGACTACAGGACAGCGCGAATTTGGGAAAAACCTCGCAGAATGGAACTTTGAGCACGGACTGCTGCTCCATCACGGAAAGGTTTATGTCCCCAAGAATCAACAGCTACGCCTTGACCTAATAAAAGTCCATCACGACACCTTACCAGCCGGACACCCTGGCAGGTTCAAGACGTTGGAGCTTATTACTCGGAATTATTGGTGGCCGGGAATGTCTGTAATGGTTAAACAATACGTACAAGGTTGCGACAGTTGTCAACGCAACAAGTACTCAAGAGAAAAACCATACGGACTACTACAACCAAATGAGGTACCAGGAGGACCATGAGAGATCGTCACAGTAGATCTCATCACACAACTTCCTCCAGCCATGGACTTTAGGGGAGAGAAGAAGATGGCAATACTTGTCGTCGTGGACAGACTCACGAAGCGAGCGCACTTTTATGCAACGGATGATACAGTCACATCGTCGCAAGTCGCTAACGTATTCTATAATGAAGTCTTCAAACTCCACGGATTGCCGCGCCAAATTATCTCAGACAGAGGTACTCAATTTGCGAGCAAACTATTCCAGGAGTTTTGCCAGAAGCTCGGTATAAAGTCAACAATGTCCACTGCATATCACCCCCAGACGGACGGTCAGACAGAAAGGGTTAACCAGGTGTTGGAACAGTATCTGCGAATGTACTGTAACCATAGACAGAACGATTGGGTCTATTACCTACCGACAGCAGAATTTTCATACAACAACCAGACCCATGAATCTACCGCACTTTCCCCATTCTTTGTCGAATATGGCCGACATCCAAAAATGGCACCAGACGTACATGAATCAATACGTCATCCCTCATTGGAACATCTATT